TTATTCACCTTCTAGCAGTGTCAAACATAGACCGTGAGAAAGTGTTTGAAGGCAGTGATCACGATGGCTGAGGGCGGTGCGGTTTTGATGACGCCATCGAACACAGTTAATTGAAGAGCGTCAGGAGGCGGTCCCAACCACATGCTTAGCGCTCTGTGCGGTCTAGTCCCAACAACTTTTAATGACGTCATCGAGACCGCTCCACCTCCAGCCATCGTGATCAGTGTCTTTAACCCTTCGACTCTCAGTAGTACACCTTTTTACGATAAATTATGGTGATATTTGTGTGTAACGCTGCTAGTCGAAGAGTTTACCTATGTGAGTAGCTGTTTGATTGCTGTTCGACGTTGTTCTTCTTTCTGTTCCTTGTCAAGTCCCTAAGTGCTTCAAGTGGTTCAGTAGTATCGTACTGAAATTAATGCTGCACAGCATTGTCTCGAATGTTTGTAGTCCTATCTTTTTAGCTACTTGCTAACGAAGGAGAAGAGGGAGCACGAGGACAGGCAATTCCGTTACGGCACGTTACCTCTCAGGTGGTGGATCGTCACAAGATTGGGCAGATATTTGGTGAGTATCGGTCATTGCATGTTAAATAATGGAAATGATGTGAAGGTAGCGCAGTGTTTTGGAGGAGTTGTGCCGGCTTTCGGAAGGCGAACTCGGACAACGTTTTTTGCTAGCTTCTTCAGTTGTACCCTGTCAATGGGAGACCTGCTGCTTTTATGAGCTCTTTGCGTAAAAACATATTTTCGCTTGATATTGATTGGTAGTATCTCGCCCTACCCTATTTTACCTTCTTTGAATGTATAGTACGATTACAGGACTTCTGTCAACGAAAGAGTGAGAGTGTAGACGGAAAAACAGCACGTTGCGTACTCAGACCGAGCCTTTAAAAGGAAACAAAAAAGCAGAGATGCTGTAATGTGTAGTGTGAATGTGTAAGAGGTCCTATACTGTACTATAACACAAAACGCTGAGTTACCTGGTCTTACGGTTGATAGATGTCCTGAGACCATATAGCATAAGCAGGCTTTTTGACCATCCCGCCCTTTTCAGTAGCCTCTTTTAACAGCTCTTTCAACAGATAACGAACTCTATCGAAAGATAGGATCGTCGGCGTACATCAAAACTTAAACTGCTGTTCTACACCAGCTGCGCATTTGAATACGCTCAAATTTTGATTAGGAATTGAGTGCATGGCCACTCCTAGAAACTTGGTGAAGGTGGCCTGATCAGCAGTGAAAAAATAGCGGGCTTTCGACTTTCATGTCTACCTTGAAGGCACTCAATATTCCTGGTATTTATCTCCTCAAAAGGAATTTTACTAATGAAGGACAAACAGCAATCTGAAGTACTTCCTCACATTAATCTGCTCAAATAGCCCATACAATTAAAAAAAACTTCATTTCCGTGAGCAAAAAAATTGTTCGTTTTCATTAATGCGATACCTGAGTGATCCAATATTAAAAACATTCCATGAGACATCAGACATCGGAAGGTGAAGTACAGCACGTTTTCCTTCTTATAACACAATGGCTGTCACAAAGCTGTAGGGTACCTAGGTGAATGAAGTTGTTTAAAGGAAGCTGGCAGCGTTCCAAAGGGTAACGATCATGTTAGGTGCTTTTTGATGTGGTATTTTACAGGACCAGCAAACAGCCAGACGGCAGCTGCTGCTTCGAAAGGAATGGTGGCGATCATTGCATTCATTCTGTATCATTCGTACACATTTGCATTACTTTCGATGATGGTCAGTGATATTAATAATTGCCAGTATTTATATGGCATTTATCACATTAGAGTCTGGCTATCTGGGAGAGACCTGGTGCCCAGCTACTGTATGCTAGGACCATCCCAGACCGCTGCGCCCACAAACTCACCCAGATCTTCCTTTTTGATTGCTACGACACATATGGAAACATTGAAAATTGACTGAAATAAGGTTTCTAGGTGTGGGCACTGCTGTATCACTCGATTTTCGGCTTGATTCTGCTTGTGCTGACCTGCACATTGTGGATGTTCAAGGACTCGCGTGGGGCCTCGTTTGCAATGGCCCCAGCGATCACGCTATATATTGAGGTATGTGAACAATGCATCGTTAGTAAAATGTTTGTGAGCTTTGTCGAATCTCACGAATCCTGCCCAAGGTTTCAACAAGGCCTGTGAGGTAGTTGTGTATTTCCAGTTATCTAAAGCTATCAAGGAAAATGGCTGTAGGTTACGATCCCCCCAAACACATGAAAGAGCAATAGCTAGAAGTAAATCCTGAAGAAAGTTTTCGATAAGTGTCTGATGCTTGGGGTATAAATACTATCCAAACTCGACTGGCTTTATCATTAGGGGCCATTACTTTCGACGGAGGAAGCTCCATGTGGTGTTGTCTCACTTCGAAAAAATCCTTTTTTTTAGTTTCTTCTATTGACTCAATACGTATGCAGTATGAACGTGACAGCGCAGGAGTTCCAAGTGCCAGACTGGATGAATATGGTTGGCTTCGTGCTTGCTGGAAATATGTGGGCAGGATTTGTTACGCTTTCTGTGAAGGTTAGTGTTATTTACTCACTCGTGTAGCTGTTTCTGCCTGAGCCTTCGAGATAGGTATGAACTTCTCCAACTCCTGTAAATCCAACTCCTTAAATCCATTGGACGGCTTAATGTTGGTTTCAATCCTCTCTGAGACGATGACAGAGAGAAAAAATATTATTCCTATTTATTTATTATTTATATATATATTTATTAATCAAATCATGCTGTATAACACAGCCGTGAAAGAAGGAAAAATAGACTGCAACGTCTATAACAATAGATGCTAATGACAAGTGAAAGTAATTCTGTGGTATTTATTGAGAGTACGAATCGCTTACCCTGGTTTCATCTTTACACTGGTGGTGCAAAACTTAAGGACGAGACAGATGAAGTAGCCTAACCTATTTATAGTTTTGTGGACCTTTTAACACCCCTATTATTTGCTTTTTGTACTATGCTGGAACAGTTCCTCTTGTATGTGTGGTTAGGTTCTATAGAGCTGCTCTTTCTCGGCAATAATACGTCACGGAAAATTTGGGTCCATCCTTAAATTTTGCACACCAGTGTATTAATTTTCGCTTATTCGTATGATGTCGTCAATGTGAAGATGTTCGTAGGTTTTTCGCTCCGCGAAATGAAGAAATGGTAAAGGAGTGAGAGTAACAATCGCGTGGCAAACTGGGTAAGCTTGCAGGACTGCGTACAAGTATCGTGAAAATTGTACTAAACACTCCAACTGCTATACAAACATTATTTGAGTACACTTTCAGTCAATCCACATGGTGCTGCCGTGGCAATTGAAGGGCAGAGTAAGGGTAGGTGTAGAGGGACGGTGAGGGAATCCGTCGTTAGGAAAACTGAGGGTAAGCCGTTGCAAAATTTGTAACTAGAACTAAATGGACGGAGAGGCAGGGAGCAACGGGAAGGCGAAACGCTAGAATGAAGCTCTTATGCCCGGGCAAATTATGTTGAGATTTTATTCCAACATGATGTCTCGACTGCGATAAGCTTTACTATGATGAACGCGCATTTCATGCATACGCATCAGAATTGAAGGGAACTGAAGAGGTCAGCGTTAATCGACTGTTTTTAGGATGCGCCATGCATCCTATTTCTGCTCAGAATCGTGGTAGCATTCGAATGAGATCTCTTTCGATGTGTTTCTTGTTCCGTATAGGTTTTCAAAGTGGAAATGATATGCCGAGGTTTCATGGAGAGAGAAGTTGGACTTTTCCGAATGCGATTTGCCTATACATTGACTCGCGGACCTGATATGCACTTTAGTGTTTAATCCCTCTACACATGTTTGGTGAAACTAAACAACTTTAGAGGGATAAAAATTTCAGTGACGACCCAGCACGACTCAGAGTTCGATTTCCAGTCTCCGGCAGGTGGTATGTGGGGTATGTGTAACCCCAATAATTCGCTCTGAATGATATCAGGATGAATTTTAGTATTAATCGGACATATTTTCATCCAAGATTCAGCCCACTCAAATTTCACATGGAGACTTTTCTGATTCACTAGTTGGAGTAAGTCCTGCAACACATATTTGAATTGTATTTTTTTTATTTTATTTCTAAGCTCGTTCAGTTGTATTATATATTCACCATTCATGCCCACACCTGCGCACAATGTTCAGGTAGCTAATTACAGCCCTTTTCTTTATGATGTATTTGGCTGTTAGTTGAAAGAGCAGCCACCTAATCTTCGAACTGAAGTATCGTAAAATTCTTCTTGTAGTCAAGGTGAGGATTCATTGCTGGTGGTAAGAGGTCTCCTTTGGTTCACCTGCGATGGCTCGTGAGTGGAGCGGGTCTTCAGCTCCTTCTTCAAGTTCTCTGTCGGGGATCACTTGGGGCGTATCGCGAACGAAAATAAGCATATGTAATTTTAAGTACCTTTGTGACGGACTGCGTCGGGGCACGTTCTGGAGTTCTGCAAAGCAGATCTCTACCGGCACAATAATGCCGGTGCTGGGGAATTTCTAATTGATTTTGGGGAATAGTTCCTGCAATAAAGAGTCCGAAAGGGGGTATTTCTGAAGGAAATGCTCAATGTTGAAGTTGGTATAGGTCAGTACGCTGTAACAAAGGATCAGTCCCTGAATAAACATACTTGCAAACTTTGTTGCTCACGCAAATCGTCAAGACATAAATAAATAAATAAATAAATAAATAAATAAATAAATAAATAAATAATAAAAACATGACAAGGGGATATTAATTTATCTAGACAATGACTGGAATGACTTGAAAAACATTGAGATAGAGGTTGAAAGAGAGTGAAATTGGCTAAAGTTTTTCGTATTATTTTCGGTAGTTACTGATTGTGGCGCCTTTGTCTATCTGGTGGATGGAGCAACACGAATGTTCTCCATATTTCATTAATTTTGCCCAAGATTCTTCTAAGAAAGAAAAGAAGGAAGTAAAGTAAGAAGAATGTTGCAGGAGACTCTCCAACCTAATTTGAATGCGTTCAACTGTTCGTTACGCATGATCTCTGTTCTTGTCAAGATCCCTAGATGTACTGTAATATCAATATTTTTCTCGTTCGTGGCTTTAACTGTGCGAGCGAGCGAAATCACGATCAGGATCGCGCTGAATGTTATGTGTTACTCACGAGGGCTACGCGTATAACGAGTCATAGCGAATTCCGCGCGGACACGGTGCTGACTCACGTGAGCAGCGCCCTTTCGAACGCATTTTCTACAGATCGATGCTTACGTTTGATCAAATACAATGCCGACATTTTGCAGTCATGGCTTCGTTTTTCGTTTGACTTTCAAAACGATTTTATGATCGGAGTGATGCATAAATAAGAGTTGACTGTTATTCTACAACGCTTCCTTATCAGTTCTTTGAAAGGGAAAGGGAAAGAGCTTACCATTCGCAAACTCTATGTGGACGCGCCCCAAACTCGAACTTCATTGAAAATCGCTAGGAAATGGAATGGGTACCAGAAGCGTTTGGAACGTGGTGAAGAGCTAAACAAGATCTTCCTAGTACAAATTATCCGCCCCCTTTCCAACACCCTCTAAATTATCTTGAGTTCCATTGATGAGGTGGGGGCAGAGAGGACCGGAGAAATCTTCTACAAATTTAATTAGGCTAATTTAACAGTAAGACCCGTATCAAAACTAATGAATCACAACCCCCTAAAGTTTTCTTTGCGAGGTACCCTAGCTGGGGGATAATCGTCCTGTTAGGGTACCTCGCCTCCTCAGCGAATGTGGGCCAAGTTCCGCAGTCGTTATACAAGTCAGATATGCAACTCAAATAAACACAAATGAGTGTAGTGCCAAACGATGGGAAATTGAAAGAAGCTGGAATTTTGCTGGCATTGCAGTTGCTGTTTTGCAAAGTTATGTTTTGTGGTCTTCTCATTTTTCCATGTATGGGGGCGTTCGCTTGACCTTGACAGTGCGACGTGTTTGGCATGCAGGATTAAAGTGCGTACATGATGAGTTCGTATTGTGCGCTAACACCTCCGTATAACACCTCAGTTGCGTCAGAGGTTTCGACTCTGGTGTACCTTTTTCATTATTTGAGTGATTATTTTCAAGCGATGAGCTCAGTTGTAGAGGTTCCAATTTTGGATCCACCGGTAGCAAAGCTGATTTAGCTTTTCATGTGTAGGAAAAGGGACTTGATGCTAAAAACTCTTTCTTGAAGTCTTTTGGTTGGAAAACATTCCGACAGTCCAGCCAGAGTTGAGGCCGCTTTCACGCATGTGACAAATGTCATCAATCGTATAGCCTTTTCGATATCCCTTAGAAAAAGCTGCCCGCCAGCGACGGCCTCAAATTGAGTTGTGTTTCGTACTTCGTATAACTTTAAAGGGGAAATAACGCAACTCTGTGAACAGTGACTGCCAAAAATAAGAAAAACCGCTCCAATATAAAACCACACCCACTTAAGGGGATGATAACAGAGCCTTTCCTATTGAAAGAATCGCTA